CTGGATGGCATTCCTTCCCTCCAGCGTATCAACCGAACCACACAGCTTGGTGTCATCGGCAAACTTGCTGAGGGCGCACTCAATCCCACTGTCCATGGCAGCGACGAAGATGTTAAACAAGACCGGTCCCAACACCGATCCCTGAGGGACACCACTCATTACTGGTCTCCAGCCGGACATTGAGCCATTGACCACAAGTCTTTGCATGCAGCCATCCAGCCAGTTCTTTATCCACCAAGTGGTCCATCCATCAAATTGATGTCTCTCCAATTTAGTGACAAGAATGTCGTGTGGGACAGTGTCGAACACTTTACACAAGTCCAGGTAGATGACATCAACTGCTTTACCGCTGTCCATCAGTTCTGTATCCCCATCATAGAAGGCCACCAAATTGGTCAGGCAGGCTTTCCCCTTTGTGAAGCCATGCTGGCTGTCACCAAGCACCTTGTTGTTTTGCATGTGCCCTAGTATGCCTTCCAAGAGAATATGCTCCAAGATTTTGTCAGGCACAGAGGTGAGACTGACTGGTCTGTAATTCCCCGGGTCATCCATTTTCCCCTTCTTGAAAATGAGGGTTATATTTCCCTTTTTCCAGTTGTTGGGAACTTCACCTGACTGCCATGATTTTTCAAATATGATGGCCAGCGGCTTAGCAACTTCATTCGCCAGCTCCTTCAGGACCTGCAGATGGATTTCATCAGGGTCTCTAATGTTACACCTTTACAAGAATTTTCTCTCACATTCAGTAACTTCTAAAATAAGATCAATGTGTACACTTTTGCAAAAATAAAGTTGATCATTAAGAGAATTTTCCATGTTAAAATTTATTACTGTAATTACTGCTTTGAATTTCCTTTCTCTAGGGTTTGTTCTCTGACAGCAATTCAACTTCAGAATCTTGCAAAAGAAAGAGACTACTGAGAATTTTTGCATCAGTTCCTACACATCCATATTTCTCAGCCACAAAGGAGTGGCTGAGACAGCCTTCAGTGTTCTTTCATCAACCAATACTGGCTGTTTGAGAGACTTCCTGAGTCTAAATAAGTGCAAATCTGCACTGAAATTGAAAGTTGAACTGACAGCTTGAAAAATCTTTCAATACACAAAGTAGGAACTTTCACTTTTCTATTCTTATTTCTAACTTATTGCCTGAAGTTTTTCTTTAATAATTATCAATATTAAAAAAAGCCAGTTTAAAAGGACCTTCAAGAGACTAAATCTCATCCTAGAAGCATGCAATAACTGCAATTAAAGGAATGCCAGATTAAGTTTCTGTTAAATGAAGAATCCTAGGCCAAGATACTTCCAAGCTAAGAATTGGAAAGAAAAAAAAAAAAAGATTTGCACTAGGCTATAGCTTGCTGTAGAACAAAGTATTTTACCTTGATCACACAGAACCTAGTCTATATGAGCACACTCTTTATATTCTTTATCAAATATATTCTATATAGAGCATTCTTTATGGACTAAGAGATATTGATTATGTTTCCCCTTTGATTTCTACTGCATTCACATAATTTTTCAGAGTGGGCAAGCTTGAACAGGAAAGTTGACCTTAGAGCCTCTGCAAGACTGCCGCACTACATCAAAAGGAGTGTGTCCAGAAGGTCGAGGAAGGGTGTTATGCCCTCTACTCTGCTCTCATAAGACCCCACCTGGAGTACTGCATTCAGCCCTGGAGCCTCCAACACAAGAGGAACATGGAACTACTGGAGCAATTCCAGAGGAGGGACACAATGATCAGAGGGCTGAAGCATCTCTCCTGTGATGACAGGCTGAGAGAGTTGGGCTTGTTGAGCCTGGAGAAGACTCAGGGGAGACCTTAGAGCAGCTTCCAGTGCCTAAACAAACCCTACAAAAGAGCTGGAGAGGGACTTTTTACAAAGGCATGTAGTAACAGCACAAGGGGTAATAGCCTTAAGCTGAATTAGCATAGATTTATATTATATATGAGGAAAAAAATCTTCACTATGAGGGTGGTAAGACACTGGTTGCCCATAGAAGCTGTGGCTGCCCCATCCATGTCTAGCAGTGTTCATGGCAAGGCTGTGTGGGGATTTGAGGAACATGGTCTAGTGTGAGGCATCCCTGCCCACAGCAGGGGGGTTCAAACTAGATGGCTGTTAGGGTCCCTTCCAACCCAAACCATTCTACAATTCTATTACCAGAAAATGCAATATTAACATTAAAAGTATAATAGATATGCTTGTGTGTTTTGGATTAAACAGACTGTGCAAATACCTCTATACTTTAAGTCTTAAATGAAGTTACACAGCTAGTAACCAAAAAAATTTTAAGTCACTGAAGCACAGTATATACATGAACAAAAATGTAGTTCTAAATTGCAGAGTTGCTCAACATTCAAGTAAACAAATTTGTAACTCTTTTGAACAATAAAAGCAGGTTACAGGAACTCAGAGTATAACCTTTAAGTTAAAGGAATCTGAATTTCAGCACTCAGCTCTGGGTGAGCCACATATACAAATAAAGTATATAGCTGTGCAGATGTGTGAATGATTAGAAGAATAGGGGTTTGGCTGTATCACTGGTATTAAGTCTAGCAGAAAAAAAATGTTTCTAGATAAATATTTCACAAAACTTCACTTTTTCAAGAATGTAGTTACCATAAACATTTAAATATTTTATTTCTACCTAACAGCAAAGAGTTTTGCTCTTTCTAATTAACTTTCTAAATTTTCAGATCCGTTAAGCATTTGATATTGCTGGATCTAACTGCTGCTGAAATTGGTATTCTGATAGAATTTGGTCAAGGAGCAAACCGACTACACAAGGCAAGGTTCACATTACAGAACACAGATGTCTGCAATCAGGAGCACTCAAAGAAATGTTCATGGAACTTGTTTTCAAAAGGTGTTTAAAATAAACTGCAATACCTCTCATATTCAGATAATATAGCCTAGGGTTTCTTTTAAGCCTTAATACTTTAAACAATATAGCAAGCATGATGAATTCCAGAATCATCTACAATTCTGGTATCATTTTAATAGGGAACTTTGAATAGATGCAAGAATAAAAATTCTCACTGTGCAGGCAGTAGAATTAGTCATAATAAAAGGCCTACATGTGCCAATTCTCTATTATGTGGAAAAAACATTTGTACAGCAAGCCCCAAATGCTCCTGAGAAGCCATTAGATCAGTATGTAAAAACACTCTTACGTTGTTTGTGGTATAAAGAGGCTCATATTAAAATCACTAGAATTTTATCTTCCTTTCTTTCACAGCAAGGGTAAAAAAAGCTGGGGGCAGGAAACATGGCTTTTTAAGAGTTAAAATTAAAAAAAAAAAAAAAGAAGTATCACTGAGATTCAAAAAATCCCTGCAGAAGACAAAGCTTCCACTGAAAATATTTAACTGTTTCAAAAATCTTCCCTTTGCCTGATTACTACTTAATTATTACGATATCTATCACTTTTATGAGTAGGTTTCCACACTGAAAATACTACTAAAACTTTTCTTGAAATCTAGGAGTTTGGCTGGATTTCCACCTGGTTTTTGACTTTGTCAGTGCACAGCAGTAAACATCATTACGACAGGGAACTCTAAAGCTCATCTTCTTTCCCATGTAACAATGTTTTTTTAACAATTTTTTTTTTACATGATTACAGATGAGTTTATTACATTGCTCATATCTGTACTTACAAATAGGTCTGTTGCTTCACAGGGTGTAGGTCTCCTTAAAAAAATATTGTAAGCATTCACCACAACTTCAACACATGCTCCATGTATTTGTGTATCACCAGCCTCTGTCTTACAGCATGAGAGTCAACCGCATACATAATCAGATTGAATAATTCAGTTCTGCCTATACCTTATAAATGTTCCTAGCATCACTGTGGGATAAATCTGTTCTTTTACTTTACAAAGATAGAATACAATCTAAACTGTAATTTTAAAACCATAAAACATCTCACTTTCGCTTATCCTAATTCAATCAATGGGAGTTCTGTCAATCCTTTTATGAAGTCAGTATAATCCTTAATGAAAAATAGTATCTTATTTTTCAAATCTCATCTTGGGACTTCTTATTCATATCCAACTAGTGGTTTCCTCCAAAGCAGCATTTAAAACTTCTGATTTGTATGACAAAAATCATGTATCTTTCAATTCCAAATTCTGCCACTGTTCATCTCCTCCATGCTCATCCTTATCAGCAAATTATACTGCATTTTATGGTTATTCATACAGAGTTATGAAATAATTTTACTGTGATATCGAAGTAAAAATACAGCTGCAGAAAGCTAACATCACAATACTTGATCAATTGGGCTATACCTTGTCAAGCAAGGTTATGAAATTCTTCCATACTATGAAGTACAATCCAGCGGATCTTCTACTTCAATTGTATAAAATATGTTAATAACAAAAATGTGAATTCAGGATTTATATACTCAAATTTGAAAAGAACCAGAAACCAATTTCTATGTTAAAATATTATAAAGCACTTAATATTACAAAACATAAGCATGACATAACAGTGTGAGTATAAGTGTTCCTTTATGTTCTAGAAATAGTTGGGATTAAATGGTACTTTCCTTCTCAAAATAGTTTTTGGTGAATTTGGGATAATTAAACTAATACTTTAAAAAAGAATTTTAAGTATAGGGAAACTAGATAAACCAAATTTCAATATAAGAATGGTAAAAAATATTTTAGTACTGTGGAAGGTTTTTTTGTTTATGTGCTACGATGGCTGTGCTGTATGTTCTTTACAATCAACTAGGTGAAATAACAACGTGCAATTTCTATTACTGCATATCATATTACAATATATCCATTTACAGGTAATAAGATTAGATTTATCACCATTTCCATTTTGTAGGCCTTTTTTCATTTAATCTTCTTACTTAAAAAAAAGAGGGAATTTCACCTTCATGCGTAATAGAAACCAAACATTGTTATCTTATCAGAAGCAAAGCATCCAAGCATGCTGTATCCTATTTAGTTAATGTGACCAAAGAACAAAAACTGAGCATCTTACCTCAGCCCAAAGATATGTGATTGCTCATAACTGAATAAGGAATGAATTTTAGCTTCTGAGTTCAAAATTACAAGCCTGTCAATGATATCCTGCCAAAAGATGACAAATATTAAAAACCTGACGTATGATTTCATATTTTATCCATGTAACAGTTTCATAGGGATGTTTTCTGTAAAATGAAACCTACTATTGAACACACAGTAAAATTACTTCTGTCCACCATAAATGTCAACGACAAAAAAGAAACCATACAGAACGGTAGGGGGGGGTAAAAGATCCTAGCATATCAAATATCTTAGTTCTCATTTAGTATTAATCCACAACAAAAATGTTAAACTGTTTTTCCTGTGTTTGAAATGTGCATACATCTGTTTTACTGAAAAGAACAGTAAATCCTTTAGTATAATACCCTTTCTAACACTAGTTAGTGCTACATGCTTCAACACACAGCTTGGATGTTGAGGCTTACATCTTATCCTACAGCATCTCATTTAATAGACAATGATCTGTGGCTGCTTCCCACTTCTTCCACAAATCCAACCTAATTATCTTCCACTTTGGTTCACTGCATATTGTAACTGCTTCTGAAGAAATAATTTCATTAAAAGACTAAGAAATGCATAAACACATTCCCTGAAGTTATCATCTCAGACACAGACTGCTATGTTATGGTCAGAAGAAACAAGCTACAAGTCCTTGTGGGTTTTATATAATCTGAATTAAATTCAAACTTTAATTTTCTCTGCATATAAAAAGTATAGTTTCAGAGACTTCTGAGGGAGTAGTTATTCAGCTAGTTAGATCAACGAGTCATATCAATATGATATGGGAGAAAAGTAAGCATCCATTATTTCATGAAATCAACTACAGCTCTGGTTTTTAACAGAGAGAAAAGTAAACCCTACAAGTAAAACTTTCAGGAAGAGGAAAAAAAATAACCTAGTACTTGTCAAAGTACTTGTCTTCAAAAAAAGTGTTCTTATTTAGAAGACAGTGAAACCATATCTTCCTATTAAATTTTCTGGGTGGCAACTGTGAAAACTGCACTTTTTCCACATAGTATGTTCACAATAAAATTCACAATAAAACAATTCAACTCAGACCTCAGGACTGTTGATAAAATTGGTAATAAAAGTAATTGATTTGTTTGGGACTTTTTAGGTATTTAACATACAAAAAGTTAAATGCCAAGGGCATCCTCACATCTATATATCAAAGCTTGGAGCTTGCAAAATCTGAGAATACTGAGAAAGCAGACCAAGCTCTGATCTGGGAGATCAGGAAGGAAGGTAACAAACAGGGTCCAACATAAGGCCAGATAAGAAAAATGTGCAGATAGATCTGCACTGCCCAAGCGCAGAGCACAGCTTAAATATTACAGGTAGGGTGTCATCTACTTTGACTACTTAAGAAACACCATCTAAAAATAAGATTCTCCATATTCATGGGGGAAGGCAAGGAGGGGGAAATTTCACCCACTTTGGCATGCCTTTCAAAGCTACAGATCTGGAGGGTACCTTTCAAGCCAGATTCCTGTGTACTGTAGAACCTCCCAAAGGAAGAGTGGTGGAAGGTAGAGAGATTTATCTGCTGATATCTGATTTATCTGTTCCATTTTCTAAAATATGGCAAGCAGAGCTAAAAACAAACAAACAAAAAAAAACAAACCCCACCCTCCAAAGAAAAAAAAAAGAAAAAAAATCAACAAAAAAAAAAAAAAACCCAAACAAACCAAAACCAAACCAAAACAATGACAACCCCCCCCAACAACCCAAGTCGGTATATATTTTAAAAAAAAATCCTAAGGGCACAAAATAAAAACCTTATAAACCTGATCAGTCAACAGTTGAAAATAGTAAAAGCTCAACTGATGATCTGTTCTGTCAATGATGCAAGTAATGCAAGTAGTTAGCCAAAAATATAGAGGAAGAAAGGCTTAAATCCTGTGTATTTAAGAAATAAAGGGCATACAAAGATGACGAAGTTCTGTGCGCTATCAAATAAAGTTCAGCATGAATATTAAAAGTCAGATCCTGTGGTAATGTGACATAATTCACAAATACAGAAAAATTTAACACACAAAGCAATTAAGTCTTCTAACCAAATCTTCTAGTGGCACTGAAATTGCCTTTACTTTGCTTTTTAACCATAGTTACATCTGGTAAAATCTTTTACCCTCAGCTTTCTGCAATTATTGCCCAAAAATAGTTATAAGATACCTATACATCTGCTTAACCCCATATTTAGTATATTAGAGTATTTAGACTTAGCCATTAGGTGCTAAATTAACATCAGAGGAACTATTTCCCTTCTGTTATGTTACATAATCTTGGATGCTCAGCTTAGGGTTACAAAACCCACTGCTGCACAGAAGTTAGTGAGACAACCCCCACCCAAAACACCTAACCAAAAGTTCACGGAACTTTTAATTGTATCATACGTAACTGTATCAGTATGGCTATTGCTAGAAACTGACAGAATTCCATCAAAATATTGAAGTGCCTCAAAAGCCAAAACAATATAAACTTTCAACAGTCACAAAAAATATTACTTAAAATCTACCCCAATCTGAAAGCTCTGAAATATGTTTCACTTTCAACGTAGATCTATACCCCCTGCCCCCATGCCTCAGAAAACTTGATGACTGAAGAGAACTATCCACTGATGGAGACGTTAACATTGAATGAATTGGAAAAATGAATTTATCATGCAATTTCCTCCTGAAATCATCAAAACAGTATTACATAAAAGAACTACAAAATCCCAAACATACACTATCATGGCATACTCTTGTCTAAACAACTTCAACTAACATAAATCCAGATTTTGTGCTAAACAAACACTTAAACACAGCTGCAATTCAAAGTGCTAGCTTATTAGAAAAAAACAAACATGATTTTAACTGCCACTCAAGGTCACAGATTAAATTTTATATTATCTTTAGGATTTCAAAATGAAAATTTAGCTTAACATGAAGTGATATGTGTATATACTGCCCTCATGCTGTATATAAGATAAAATGCAGAAAATTTCAAAATCTTGCAGTGAGAAGAAAAAGCATATTATTACAGTAACATTTTCTCAGGAAAAATATCTTTAGAGAAGTATTTTTCGCTCAAAATAAAAATTGTACTTACAATAATATCTGTAGGTACTTCACGGAATGAATACAAAGGCTTATTTGGTATATCTTGTTTACTCAGGAGCTCAAAAACTGCAGGATATGTAAGCAAGTTTATCAGAGACAGAAAAGACTAGAAAAAGAAAAAAAGGGGGGGCAGGAAGCATTAATCCATTAAGTCTAAACAAGTAAATATTAACAATTATTTGCCATTTACATTAAGTTTGCTCTTATTCTTCTTTATAGGCTGAACTTGACATAAATAGAGCTGCCTAAAAAGAGACCACAAAACCTGGCAGGTGTCTATATAAACTAAAAGGACAGTAATGTATGTGAAATATGTACAACTATTTACCAAGTTGTAAAAGCAATTTTTAAAACTATAGTATTTTCATAACCATGTAATTCTAAAATCTAGAGACACAGCATACTCTAAAACATGTCACTCTCTCTGATCTAACTACAGTAATCAGAGACATGAACTGATGGCCAGTATTTTAAGAATTTCGCTTTTGTCAAGATTGTTATAAATTATTTTATATTTACTTTAATGGATCCTTGGCATTGTGACTTGCCATGAAATGAAAGAATCCTTTCAATCAGTCATCCTTTGACTAGTGTATTATACTAATTTTGTCCCACATCTCAAGAAGCTGGTATAGTGCTATAAAAATTTACAGAAAGGTATGTATAGCCTATCTGACATACATTACTGTTTTTTCCATGCCCATATAGAAGATTAAGTAATTTCTCACCTTCTGACAGCTTTGGTCAATAGGGTCAATGGGAGTAGATTTGGGTTGGGTTATCCTTAAATCATCTTTTCCACACTCCAGAAGAGCCCATAATTCAGTTACAAGTGCCTTTATAAAGCCTAAACAAATTTTTTTTCTAATCATGAAAATGACAAGAATACCAGAAAAACAATTTTCATAAGTAAAACATTTTACACCACAATTCTAACTCAGATTCTCAAATATTCCCTACACTGTAGACTAAAATTTCACAAGGCAGACTGCCTGAGGGATACTTTCCCTGCCATTCTCAATCCTTTGTTAAGCTACCTCTTTATATTAAATCTAAGCTATACAGCAGCAGTTTGCAAAGACTATTACACTAGAGTAGGATGATATTTATATATATCTTCCACATATCTGACCTTCTTTAACAAGTTTATTGCTACAGATCAAGGCTTACCTAGCATTATCTCTACGGTTTAAAAAAAAAAAATAATACAGATTTAGTGTAACTCATTAATAAATGAAAATATACCATAATGAAAAGTTAAGGACCGAAACAAACCTTTTGAAGAGAAGCACTACTAGACGATTTTATAATGTTACCTTTTAAAATACAAGAGAAAAGTTTGGGGATTTCAGAGTTAGATGACTATCCTAAGTTATGTGCTTAATACAACCTTCATGTCCATTACACAACCTCCTTTCAGGGTTGAAACACAATGCTTATTATTTGTCTTTGATGCCAAGGGCTATACGAAGCAACCTGGCTGAGAACCATAAACAAGATGGTTACTCCTCAAGTAGATCTGCTTCGCTGCTTTCTGAAAGACCTCAGATGTGTAAATAACCAACAAGCAATCAGTTTCCTTGAATTCCTGGCTGAATTTGCCTACATTTCTGAGTCTTTCCATCAAGTCATTTTAATTACACATCAGCCACTTCTGGACGCTCAAAAGATACTTGGAAACTTTTGTACCTCATGGACTTCCTTAGTAACTTAAGTAGCTTTACTTCATTGATAAGATTCTAGCCTTAACATAACTACTTAGACCACTGAGTGGTATGGCAACAGTTCAGGTATCTGGAAATAAATCTGAAGGGACTTTGTGGTATGGATTGACATACGAGAAGAACTGTCAATTCAGACAATCTGAATTCCATCTCACTATTTTATAACAGCACCAATGACATTCAGGCCACTGCAGTTTCTCACTCTTTGAGCACTCAGCAACCATGGAAAAGTACATATAAATTACAGAAATCAACAGTTATCAATTCTGATCTGTAGATCAATAAGAAGTACTGGCAAATTGTAAGTAACTTTTTTTTAACAGATATAAATGTCTTCATGCACAAACAGGAAATTTCTGGAAATCCTAACCAAAGGAGTAAAGATTTTGATTAATTTAAGGAAATAAAAAGACAAACCGAACCAAAACAAATACAGCTCTGCATCAAGATAAGCAGATGACTTAAAAGTTGGAAAGAATAAAGTTCCATCAAGAAGAAATCAATGGACATCTAGGCATTCTTTTCTAATAAAGTATAATTATTCCCTCCAGCTGATCTTTTTTAACATCATTCTGTCTTTTTCCAATATGCAAGACTACAGCAGGGAAGTATTCATAATAATACCATTCTTCAATTTACCTGAACTTTGCAGAGCTACTGCACCTGATGGTGTTGTTGCCATTTGTGTAATAATCACTTTATTACCAAACTCTTCATATTCATTTGCCTGTTAGTAACATATACAAAGCTCAGTGTTAGTTATTCAGAGGACATGAAACTCTCCAATTATCTCTTAAATACTGATCTTTCCTACACTTGTTTACAGAGTTTAATCCACTATATAGTTAGACTTGAACAGTTCAGAGAAACTAGCCTCTAAAGACTTACCAGGGTCAGATTCCAAATCAAACATCTTTATCAAGTGATCAGTCTTTATCTTCTAAAAAATTTATATACAAAATACTATGGCTGAGACATGCAACATCAGCAACGAATAGAAACACTGGTATCACGGTTTTTGTACACGTTCACTAAGATGCCTGTAACATCACCCTTCTTCACCTGATATAAGCATTTCAAGTACTGTCTAGCATATCTAGATTTAACATCTAACAAGGTGGTCAAAAAAAATTTGCACTTAAAACAAACAAAAAAAATTCCTAGCATTTCAAACTTTATAGTAAGAGCCTGAAAAATAAACATATGCCTCTACATCTGAAGATGAGTAACATCCAAGAAACTTAAATTAATGTAGTACAAGTATCAAAGATAAGCTGCATTTGAATTCATTTTGGGGGCAAAAAAAAAAGTGATAAAAGTAGCTTCTGGATTCTTTTTCGTACTATTTTCTTCCTTTTTTATTTTATTATAATCACTAAAAGAAAGTAAAATTGTACAGACAGACTCATAATGCTTACCTGGAGCTTCTTTGATAAACTGCTGACTATAAAGCTGACACAGTCATTCATGGCACCTGTACTATGAAGCAGAAACAGTCCTCTGGGTGTGGCAGAAAAATTTAGCAAGGCATCTAACAAAGTCTCTTCCCATAACAAACTGCAAGAGTAGCAAATAATGATTTTAAAAGGTATGTAAAAAAGCAAGGGGAAAAAATTAAGACTACAATTTCTAGCTTTGAAAAACACCACCACTTCATTTCCTGGACTCTATGTTTACTCTATGTTTACAACATTTATGTTGGTTTAAAAAAAAAAAAAGTTTGGGAAACTTATGTATTAGACTGTATTTTGTACAAACATTGAAACCCATCCTGGCAAAACTAAGGTTAAATAGGAACACATAACAGAAAGATGATGTAATGGGGAAACCAAAAGACCTATGCCATCTTTAAATACACTTATGACTTATTATCTGACTCTAGACAAGTCTTGCGATTTTAATGTGGCAGTTACAAACTAGCAAAATGGGCACAGTTTCTCACCAACATAAGACAACTATAAGGAACTAAAAAACCTCACATTAGAGGAGACAAAGCATCTTCTAAAAATGAGTACAGAATTATGAAACTAAAATGCTGTATGTAAAGAAAACACACTCATGTACTAACAACAATAAATGGAACCGATTTTCTACAGGCATGGCAGGAAGGACAGCAATTGCAAGAATGAAGTAGGATGATATCCCTCTGCCCTACAAAATATTCTAACCCCCATAAAGAAAAGTGAAGCAATTACATCACCTTTGACTAGGTACCATTCCTGCAGGTACCATTAGACTCGTAAGATTCTGCTTCTCTTAAAGCACCTGCTAAGCAGATTCTCATCTTGAGCTCTGTTCTCATTCCCCATTTTTGACTCCTCTCACCAGTAAGCAGCATGCAGCTTTCCTCATAGCAGTCATCCATTACCCCAAGCTTTAATCACTTCTGCAGAATCCCTGCCATGTCATGTTCAGAAGCAAAAAATTCACCCAGAAAAGACCCAGCTGTCTTGTTCCACAGCTAAATGAAAAATCTAGATACTAGGAGAAAAATTTATTTTATGTCCCTGGTAATGACCAGTAACAGCCTTCACAGTCAGAGCTCTGCACCCTAGATTTCTTTTTGCCTCTAGATTTGAGTTGCTATAACCAGTTCACATGCCACCATCAGAGACTAGAGCTGTTGAGGTATCTTTGCTAATTATACATGAACTCTATTGTAAAGTATAAACAAGAACCTAGGTAATTAACTAGGTTCTGCACTAACACCAATGTCACCCTGAATTTTCAGGCTCACAAATACCTGTTATTTCCCATCCTAATGCACACAAGCTTCTCTAAAAGAACATTAAGTTTTTGTATAAAAGGAAGGATAACTTTCACTTAATACGCATAAGGCATTTTTTGCTACACAATATTGTGAAGGTGTACGATACCATTCCGCAGAACAGCATTTTAGACTAACACCACACTAAACCCATAAGATAAACTCTGACAGGCACTTTGTTTTATGCCTTCTAATTCACATTTTCATCAAGTCAATTTCTGTAGTCAGAATCAACCATAAGTCAATTTTACATAAATGAGACACAATTCTGAAAGCCAAGAACGCTGTGAAAGCTCAAGAACAATTCTGTAACTCTACTAAGGCCTACGCCAGTATGATTTCACTCTACCAACCACTATGCTTTTGGAAAAAAAAATGCAGAGTAATTAAGATGCCTCAGTTGTGGATAAAGAGTGTGTACTCAACACTTATGCATGGGTATAAATTAAGTATCAACTTACCTGTTTTTTGACTCTAGACTTATTGATGAAATTGAGTCCACACCAGTTACAGGAGTTGGTACTCTTTCTGAGAGCAAACTCATCTGTGAAATAAAATAAAAAATAAATAAATAAATACCTCCTTAATGTTTATTTACACCATTTTTAAATTCCAGATATTCTTGTTCTATGTTTAAGGAAACAAAAAAACAAACAAACAAAAAACCCCAAAACCAAACCAAAACAAAAAAAAAAAACCAAACCAACCAGTGAATAGGTTGTAGTCTAGCCTTTGGCACAGAATACCCTATTTCACTACATTTTTTATTACAGAAAAGGTTGGCGTGTCTTTCTTTCTTGAGCATAAACCATTTTAAAGCTATTACGTTTTTTTTAGAATTCTTAAAACTCTTCTTACTTTTTAACCTTAATATTGTTAAAAGAAATAAAGCAACTCTTCACTTCAGTCACAGGTAATGGAAATAACAGCCTCTGGAGTCAATAAATGAAGTAATTCTGACAACTTGCATTTATAAATTGTATAAATTTATTTATATTTGTGTGGATATAATTATATATTCATGTAGCTCTATACATGCCTCTATATTTAACAAGGTTTCCTATTTAAATGATATTTGAAAATAACTGGTGTGAAAAACACTGTATATTTTACATGACTGATCTAAGTGGCTTTATATTTCCAGAGATAAAAGCAAACTGCACCACTCAAAAGAAAGTCATTAGTTATTAATCTACTCTCTTATGTGATTTAATAAATATACAAAAAACTCTTCTATTAAAATAGTCCATTGTCCTGGATCTCTTGAGTTCCCCTATTATTACCATCTGTACAAATTCTGGCCCAGAATTCCATCAGAAACTGCAAAAAAAAAAAAAAAAAAAAAAGTTGTTTCACCATCAGTCTTACAACTCCAGGAGATGTGTAAAAGAGAAGGAATCAAATTAGCAGTCTATCCATTAAAAAAACTGTCACTGCAGCTTGGACAGACTTCAAATCCACCATTTGTGCTATGCTATAAATGGCACAATATTTTATAAATTGCAGATGTTTTAATATCTAACAATGTCAGAAAATAATTAAAAAAAAATCAAGATGGCGAAGTTCAAAATGTGACTTTCGTGTAATAACTTGTTGATTCTTGAAGTCCTGAATATGTAGATTCCATTTCAGTCTCAATTTGATCTCCAAAGTGAGTGAAGAAATGGCCTTCTGTCAGTTAAATGTTTCATTTTTTTTTTAATACAGCACATTCAGCCTACTTATCTTGTATGTGTCAAAACAATTTGTGTAAACGATGTTCTACACCATAATAAAAGATTTTCATGTGCAAAGAAGTCTTTTGTGCATGTGTAAATGCTGTTGTGCTTTACAGCAAATAACTGGAAATGCCCATCAAAAGCATTTAATGGTTTGCCTGTGATAAACATTAAATAGACTAACAGGTTAGTTCAAGGAAGACTGACTAGCCACACAACAGACAGATTGTTATGTAAATTACAGCATGACTCAAGTGAATCAAACTCCTTAATTCAACAAGATCCTAAAGTTCTCAATGCAAAGAAGAAAGTAAGTTCCCAAACCAGCGTTCTCTGATGAGAAACAAGAGCTTACTGTGATGAAATTATGACTGTTAGTAAGTAAATGTATGCATTCATGGTAACATTAATATATAAAAACAGTGAGAAATACCCACAAGCTGGTGATTTAAGACTCTCTTCTATTCGTGTTTCATCTTTCTAATGTTTTCTGCCTCAGTTTAAATTGCAACTGTATTTCTTAAAATTTCTAATTGTAATAAAAGCATACAACATTTGACAGAAGAACAGCTGATTAATTTTCTTTCCCTTGCATTCAATCTCTCTCCCACTTCCTCGCATGAAAAACATAAAACCCCTTTAGCCAGCTTTTTCTTCCACCTTGGTCTGATCCTTCTCTAAGAAAACATTTTACGATTACTGGGGGGGGGGGGGAAGGGGGAAGAAAGGTGGTTCCATTTTTCAATATAAAGTGAAACAAACTGGCTGGTTTTGCTTTCCAGTAAGAGTTCTAATACCTATAGCTTAAATATGCTTTCAGTTTAGCTGGAAGCCAAAGTTGAAGCTTTGTGTGCTACCCTCCCCTCAATGCTGTCAATGGATTCAAACATTTGTTTGACTTTTACTTCACTGTCAACTTTTTGAAAACTGATCTTGCAGCATCTGCTACCATTTTTCCATCTTAACTCAATTTTTATAACAGATAAGAATTTTCACACTTCGCATGGCTATCAGAACAATGAAAACAGAATAGTGAATAAAGCAGAGATCTATATAACTTTTTCAGTAAATTTATAACAGAAAGCAGAAAGCAGATTACCCAGAACTGTTAGATCCAAGCTCTGAGTGGACTAGCAATCAAACTGAAGTACAGTACAGAGTTTACACTTAATAAGATGTCTAAGTACCTAGATAAGCAAGAACTCTTAACCAGCACTTCTCATTATGGTTTCTTCATGGCATTTCAATGCCATCTAAGTCAAATATTTGGAATCTCCCTTTTTGTTTTCCTCCATATTTCCCACCAAAATGAACTAGTTTAATCTACAAATTACTAAGACTACATCTTGGGAGTTTTTCCTTTCCATATTTCCCAAATCAAGAGTGAAGACAAGATCTGTAGTGGACACTGGCTATCATGATAGCAAGAGACCTCTAGCATCAAGAACAGTGGTCTTTCCACCTTGAGACTTCCTGGGTTAATCTTTAGGCATCAAGTCTCAAATAAAGCTTTTGCTAGGTTCACACAGAGAAGGTAAATTTTAAAAGTAGAACTTCATTTTTAGAACAATCGCAAGCATTACCTCACTACTTAAATATAAGCAACCTGAAACAAAGTACAACTACTGCATAAGCTGAATCTCTCAAGATTTTTTTTTTCAATTTTCCCAGTCCAAAACAAAGATTTACCTTTTTCCAGGCCTCTGCCATAGATTCATGCAAGCCATAAGGAATTAGCACCTGCAGACCTTCACACGTTCTGTACATCTGACGGCATACAAAAATGAAAGCTCCTTTAACAACTGGCAAAAGCTCGGATCCAGACAAAAGAGAAATGTCGTCATGAAGAAGTTTCTTTGTAAACTGAACAATTACATGAACAGCTGTAGGACTAGAAATAAAATAACACTTTTAAAATGCTGCTTTGTAGTCACCAATACACCTTGAAACAAAACCTCTGACCAAATTTACTCAATTTTTTCTAGGGGGAAAAAAACTATGATCCACTATGTCATAACTTGTGGCACCAGTCAGAAGGAAAGAAATGTACAGGAAGTGATTTTACTTTGGCTACAGGTCTACATAAAGCAAAAATGCATCCCTTGTCTTCCATCCATCCCACATGGCCATGATCTACACAGACTTTGTGTTTTATAAGAGTCCAGTTGGGAAGAGTAACAAGACAATCATTTTAGCTTCTGCTTAGTCAGTGTTAAGGATATCACTACAAGTCAATATTTGTCCTCTTTTTCCTATCTGAGACGTCATTTTGAAGTCTTCTAGGTTTGCAATACAAGGGACAACTCTTTCTTAAAATGTTTTTTTTTTACTTCCAACCCCCCATACAAACATGCAACTTCTGAGATTCGTCCACTTTGCAGACATATTCCAAATATTTTCATCACCTGCATCTTAGCTATTTTTAAAGGCTAGTCTCAATTTTACTGTCCTGTTTTAAGTTTTAGCATCAGCTAACAACATACTGCCCACAGCATCACACAGGTCTTAAGTTAGGTATAGTGCTACAAATGTCAACTCCTGATAGAGGATCTGTCTTTACATGTATTAAAAAGTGAATGCTATATTAAATCTATTATTTAAATAAATTGGTTTTTAATATTTATTCTAAAAAGAAAACAAACAAAAAACAGAGAAGAAAAGCCTTTGGCCTGAGTAGTAGCACTACAATTACAATGGAAATATATTCAGACAAAGAAAAGCTCTCACATGAATAAGAAAAACAAGAACTGTTGAAATCTCCCTTATGAAAGTATTTCTTTAAATTGTCATTTCACCTGGTTATACACGTCTCCCTAATACATCATTTACTACTTTACTTGATAATCAGGTATTTTACTCCAAACAAAACACATCATGTTACAGATAAAAGAGAAAATAAATCTTATAAGATTAATCTGATGCATTAAAGTACTCAGTAATGTCATTCATTAAAGCACTCTTACCCATCTTCTTTGGAAGTTTTTTTATTTTCTCCATGAAGAAGGAAAGAAAGACCATCATCTACAGCAGCAATCCTTGCCAAAATATCAGCTACATCAATTAAAGTGGTTTCAAGACAATTCAAACACACCTATATGGAAGAAAAAAAGAGAAAGTTTTAAATTAAATGCTTTTGTGAAAGCTGCTTATTCAACTCTGGCTTAATGTATGCAGAACCTGAAGGCCACCTCTCCTACAACTGCTTAATCACTTAAACAAAGGAAGTAAACAGCCTATCATCATCGTATACAAATCTTCATCACAAATGGCAGTAATCATCTCTTTTAATGATTATGGGAGAAGTCCAAAGATTGCACAGATACAGAAAACAAACGTTTCTGAACTCCTTTTTCTCTTTTCCCACATGAATGTGAAAAGGCTCTTGATATGCCATCTAGGCGTTTAAGAACAACATCTGAATCAAGGCAAAAAACATTCTTACTTGTTTGTTGCTGCATAAGCACTGACAACTTTTTGGCTAGAAATGGAATTCAAGTTTCCAAGATCATCTGTATTCACCTCACTTGTAGGCTGCAGTAGGCTGAAACAGTGGTTTGCTCTGGAATCATGAGGAGATTCTTCTCCACTACAGCAAAGCAAAAGTCTTCTACCAATTTCTTACTCACTTCAGATTACTGTATAGCCATAACTAGACTGTAATCAAGCAACCTGAACGTTTAACACTGAGATTCAGACTGTTCGGTATGGTACCATGACTAATGAAATCAAGGTTAAATCCAAATCAAGGTTAAACTGGCCACTGCCTTTTAGTAAGTGAAGTCAGTATGTCCCACGGTAGACAAGCAGAACATGGATGTTCCATGAGGAACCTTTCAGGGAGCTGCAAGGGGAGAATATTCCACAAGGAACAAAAAGTTGGAAGCTGAGCATGATAATGATGCAGGCAGAGGCAATGGCTTACCATCGGATGAGCAGGCAGTCCCACCATACCCAAACACGGTGAGCAGACAAGGTCCAGTCACCCAGCAGTCTAGATTCCCTTCACAGTGATGAGGAAGGTCCAAGGTTAAGCCAGGAAACCAAGTCAGTTGAGTTAGGGTCAGCTCCAGACAGAGCAACCAGAGTCAGACAAAGCACAGTGCTCACCATGCAACTGGATTTTTAGTGACAATACAGGTCTGAGGTAAAACAACCTAAGAAATCATGGTCTGTGGGTCAAGGTTCAGATTAATGGGACAGGAGGCTTCCTTGCTGCTACAACCTACTACAGGCAGTGAATGAGAAGAATGTCATCTTGAAAGCCACTCCTGTGATGAGTCCACACTGAACCTTATTAACAGAGTTGTCATGGGGGAGATCTCTGCTGAGGCTTCCTAGCAGAGCTTTCTAAAACGGTTATCTTGAAGGCTGCACACCCCCACAGCATTACCTATGCTGGCTCTGAGCCTAGGCTTCCAAGCCCACGTGAGGGGAAGTTCGGGGGAAGATGTGCCAAGGCCTGACAGCAGACAGGTAGCTGTAATTCTGCAAGACTTAAGAGTTTCCTAAAGGTGCTCACCAAAACTCTGTTACTGTCCATGGGCCTCAACTATATAGTCATGACATAGCCAGAGTGTACCTTCTCACCCAGGGACTAAGAAACATTTTGAATTCCTCGTATTTATGCATAAACATACTTAAAAGGAGAAGGATGGTTTTCAAAATGAGAAGTCCTCTTTGGTAGTTTCCCCATGCCCACACCCAGAACTACAGAGTGGAGGCAAGAGTGAAATGACTTTGTGGCAACGATGAGCTAGGGAAGATAACTGCTCCCAGTAACACTTGTTAAGTATCTAGTATGTCAGAACAGGGAATTAAATACCACTCTCCTGAAGTCCGCTGCATAAAGCTTTTCTACTCTTCTGTTATTCATGAAGGACAGCTGGACTCACAAGACAAATTATTTTTTAAATGCTCGTGCTTCTTCTCTTACAGGTAGCTCTATGTTTTATATAGTGCAGAGGAAAAACAGTCTTCCTACTTTAAAATTTAAAGCATTTATTATTAATGCCAGTGGTCAAAGTAACCCAAGAGAAAAACAAAATTTTGATTTTGTTTTATAGTTAAAATTTTCAGTGACAGAGGGTTAAAAATCTCCCCGACCTCTTATTTTTTTCAGTTACTGGATATCATTGTTCAGGATTCTAAGAAAGGACATACTGTGCTGTCAGTTTCTTTAAGACTGTTAATCTGTTTTCTTTGTGTGACAGCAAAAGAAAACCCAAAACACAGTACTGTGCTTATTTAAAATGTGAATGCAATGTTCTGCACCAGCTATACTTCAGCAGCAACTCCAAGGCTACGGAGCCCAAAAGGTCAATACTGCTGCCCAGGAACTGACCCTTCTGACAACTCCTGCTCTCAGATGAGTTTCTTCCCCTAATCCCCACAAATATACAATACTACTCTGCTTAAAAACCAAGTAAGGCTTGCACTTATCTGAGCAAATTAAAAGCTCAAACGTAAAATAACAGCATTGCATTTGCTCATTAGGCCCATATGCAGTTCTAGTTTCACCCACTCCCCAGTCCCAGCTGAAGAAAGCTGCATGCATGGACATATCCTTCCTTTTGAGACAGACATGGTCCATTACTAGAATCGAGGATTAGGATTTCTGGGTGTCTAAGAAGTGACAATGGCTTGGCTGGAGAGAAAAAACAGTTAAAACTGTTGTAAAAGAGGAAGATGATCACTCTGACTTGGTCTACCGTTCTAGCTATTTGCACCTTTGTTAGAACAGATATGACATATTCCAGATTCATAAAACATAACCAATCTACTACAGCTACTGTGCATTGAGTATTCCTACACATGACCTATTTTTTTTAAACAGACCGGTTATTAAGTCACAGGAGGGTTTACAATTTGTTGAGTTCATCTACCTACGAGAGACAGCTGAGCATGACAGAAACAAAAAAAATGAAAACAAGAAACTGTTAAATATTAAAATATTTTCTTTTTAAGTTACTAATGTATAATAAAGGTTACAGTTGCATATTCTTTAGCATACCATATGACCACAGAGACCCCATTACAGCAAATCAATGAAGTACTGCCTTTGTACGGTTTTTAAGTTTGACTGTGTCCAATGTATTCGCAGGCTCAGCCTACGTGAAAAAATTTGCACTAAATTTTTGCAAAGTATGGTAAAAACAAGACAAAGTATTAATCTTGCAAAAGGATCCATAGATAAGCTTATAATGAAATGTATAAATAATGCTACTGTATTCAGTAGATACCCACAGAAGAGCTAAATTATTTACACGATCAAGTTTTGGCAGGACTATGGTTTTAAGCTTCACAGAATAATAGAACGGTTTGGGTTAGAAGGGACCTCAAAGCTCATCTAGTTCCAATCCCCCTGCCACAGGAAGGGTCACCTTCTAATAGGCCACGTTGCTCAAAGTCCCATCCAACCTGGTCTTGAACACTTACAAGGATGTGGCAGCCACAGCTTCCCTGGGCAACCTGTTCTGGTATTTCATTGCCCTCACACTAAGGAATTTCTTTCACAATAAAGAACTCTAATCTACATCTACCCTCTTCCAGTTTAAAGCCAATCTCCCTTGCCCTATCCCTACATTCACTTGTAAATACATACTTTAAAATATTTGCTTGGAAATTGATTGTTTACACTTTTGAAACAGCACTGGAGTATTTCTGTATAGGTAAAAATGTTTTGGGGAATTAATACGAAGAATCTTTTCTGAAAAACAAACAAGCTGCTCTGAAAATATAATTAGAAGGATTCTGACAAAATTCAACTTCAAGAACCTAGCTGAGGTATTTAAGTTGCAGACCTAGACTCTTTACAAGCATAAGTCTCAGGAAGTAAATTCAGAAATTCTCAGCATTTATTTCTCTCAAAGTCTCTTTATGCGAGACAAGTCAGGCTTATCCACAGTCATTTCAGACCTTTTTTCTTGGGACTTACCTAGATCAATTAAATCATCTCAGTCGAAACAAAAATAACAGGACAACCTGAAACTATAACTTCACCTTTAAACACCTAGAGGCAATGTTTCCCAACATTTTTACAATTCTTACAGAAATGTTTTAGAAAAAGGCAACAACAAAAAGAAAAAAAAAGCTTGCTTTTACCAGTTCAGAAAGTAATATTTTTCCATGAAGAATTACATACATTACATATACTATTATTAAGAATACTTTGCTGCAAGCTGCCATCTGAATTAAAAAGAAAAATGTATGATGCCTTTTAAATAGCAAATAGAGTAAATAAGCACCCAAGAAATAACCAAAAGACATCAGAAGACAAAAAAAAAAAATTAAGGTATATGATTTTCCTGAGGGAACAGTCTCACCAGAGCGGATTTTTTTTTTGGTACTATTCATATGATTTCAAGAAAGACAAGTTCGACAGACCAATCATAATGACAGCCTTTGCTATTTAAGGCACACTGTAACAGCAAATGCAGAAAACACTACAGAAGTTACCATTTGACTAAATGGATCTTATACGTTAAAAATACAGAAAAATATAACATTGTATAGATTTAGAAATTATTTGTAAGATTTCTACAAACCTCTGTGCCACCCAGTATGCTTTGAACAGGATGAAGCAGGGCATCTATCACTGCACCTGTATATAAACATTCAGCAGCACATCCTGTCTGATCACAAAAAACTTGCAGAATCTCCATAACAAGACTTGCTGGAGAATAATTGTCTGGTGAACACAAGAAGTTATTTATATTTTAGCTTACACAGACATATCTATATGGCTTATATACATGCTTCTGAATTATAATTTTGCTAAGTACTGATTTAACACAGAGAGCAGAAAGAAAGGTACAGGAGAAAGGGAAAAGAAAAATCTTCACAAATAACAGACTCAAATTAAAAACTGCACAAGAAGTTACCAGGTGCCTCATTATCATTAGCAGATATTAAAAAGCAAGCATTTACCTGTATGCCCTGCCAAAGCTGTCTTCGGGTAACTTGGAGAGTAATAAATAAGCTGAGTAAACAATACCAACAGATCAGTTATGGATACACGATCTATTAAAGAAAAAAAAATAAAAGGAGGTACTCTGCAAATTAATGTGCAACTTTAATTTCACAAATAAAATGGATTTTGTAAATATATGGTAAACAATTTCTTGCTATATTGAGGAAAACAATATATGTACAACTGGTAAAGGACATGCACGTCCCTGGGATTCTACCAAAGTATTTCATGATCAGTTTAGAAGCCTTCATCTTGCTCCCAGTTTAGCCAATTGCAATTTTACAAAGTCTTCCATCAAAAAAAAAAACCCAAAAAACCAAAAAAAAACAAAAACACCAAAAAAACAAGCAGGAGCAAACATTTGAGAATACTGAATATACACAGCTCTAGGACAAAGCGCTACCTTGCTATTGGATTAAGTGAAGTAACCGGAAAAGAGACAAGCTGTCAGACAACTCTTCCTCAGGTCTGAAACAAAAACATGTAGCTAAATGTAGGCTGGGAACTACTGCTCCAAGTTTAATGTAATTATGCTAATAAATCAAACAATTTGTGAGGAAGGCATTGCTATCTAACGAGGCTGAAAAGGCCACTCAAGAAGACTAAGATTGTTACTTCTGTAGGGGAAAGGAAAAAAAAAAAACAAACATCACCAATGGATCATTGCTTGAATAGTCTTGTACAGGGAAATGACAAAAGCCTTCTATTAGATGTTACTTCCTCACAACTGCTCTGTTCAATCTATTAAGTCCGGATGCTCAAACCAGAAAGAAAAAATACCTTCAAAAGTCTCAGAATTAGTATACAGTAATGTTTTGAATTCTACACTGAATTAACAGATATTCATGTAATGGAACACTACAATCCTCACACACTTGTATTTGCCAACCCTGCACAATGCAAATTTCACTGGGTGTCCAACAGTTTTTCCATCTCTTACCTTCTGTCCTTATTAAAACATCTGTTCCACAGGTACCACCTTTTCCTCTACCATTGTTTTTATTAATAGGTTAAGCTCAGAGCAATCCTTTTCAATGCCTACTTAGCTTGAAATACAGGTTTTCACACCTGAAAAACAGTTCTGGTCCCTGGATATGACTCTCTTCCAATCAATTATATTGATAGTTCAACAGAAGTTATTATTCATACCTAGAAAGACTGAATCCAGTACTAATCCAACTCCTTCAACATGAAATTAACATATTAAACGTAAGGACAAAAAGCAATCTATTCAACAGAGTTCAATCTATTGAACAGAGTACTGTCCTATAATGTCCACAATGTTGCAGTAGAAGCATATGAAGTATGGATAAAGCGTTCCCCAACAGCTCCCATTTTTCCTCAGCCCTCCCCTTACCTTTTTTATTTTTCAGCTGTACTGGAAAGAGATTTTGACCTTGCTTATAGATCAACAATCTTCCTAAAAGGCACAGTGAATGAACAAAATAGACATACTGCAATTCTTGTCCAGTATAAGAAAAGTTCTGCTCATCACCTTTAGCAATAAAAAAAAAAAAAAAAAATTAGAACTCGATTCTTTTAGTTTACTTCACTAGTTTACTTAACAATACCTAGCTATTACCTGCAACATAATATGGATCATTTTGTATATAAAGACAGACAGTTTAAGTAACTGCTGTTACTTAATCACTGTTATTAGTTCTCTCTCAAAAGACACACATACAATATTTTGGGAAGAAAAAGAACAGATAGAATGTCATCCTCTTGAGGTAGCATACTCAAAGACCTAGAGAATGCAGATGCATGTGCATACAATGCAAACCATGCAAAGATACTCACTACAATACTGATGGGAGAAGTCACTCACACCGCAATTTTTATTAACTCGTGCCTTGCAAGATTCAAAATAATCAACACATTGCTGGACAGCTGCACTAATCTGTGAAGAAAAGCACAAAATAATAAAATACCTGGTATTTTAGAACATCATTCTCTCTTGTATCCAAGTACTGTCCTTTAAGACAAGAATCTGAACAGCCACTTCACAGAAAATAGTTCATGTTTCAGTGCTTTGGATGGGTTAACCAACAGGAGGCAAAGTTTTACATTGGTCTTACTGACACGAATGACAGTTCCATCCCACTGAAGAGATTTGCCCATACAAAATATGTGACAGGATTAACACCTCCATTACTAAAGGCGTTTTCTCAGTTTGATTTATCTTTGAATCCTTAATGCTTTGTATCACAACTTTAAGAACACAATGGTAGTTTTTTACTTTATGTCAATCAAAAAAACCAAATTCAGAATAGAGGTTTCATGACGTTTTTTCATGCACCATTTGCTATTTTATACATTGTCAGAAATAATTCTAACTATGAATGTAACATCAGTTAAGAAATAATAATCCTAATTAAACACCTGCTACAAAACATCCAAATTTCCTCTTACTCAGAGCTGGTCACATACCCTTCTTTGCATTTAACAGTAAGTAATTGAACCAAAAAGAATTCAAAAATAAATTTTGAAAATCCAAAAAGCTTATCTAGCTAAATGACATGGAATAGCTCTGACAAAATGGAAAAAGGAAAACACATGCTCAAACCACAGTGTGCAGAGCAGGAAGTTCCAGATAAAAGTTCCAGATAAATTTACCGTTAGAAATACTTACCAAAGATTTATATTTCTTTTCCAAAAGCCTAAGTACCACTGCTCTGCTGTAATACGCATGCTAAAATGACAAAGACAACCTGATGTCAACTTCAAACATGTAAGTTTTATTTTTTATTTAAAAAGTAAAATTATCTCTAATTCTACTCTATTAGGGATCCCGTGCACGGTACATATTCAATGTATTGAACTCCAGATTGTGTAAACCAAATTATACTCAACTGAGTCTTTTGTTTGCAGTACATTTAGGATGACAAAAAAAACGTCATTAGAAAAATATGTAGCAGAACATGCAGTAAGCAATAACCACATTGAAACGATGGATTACATGCTTTGGCATAGCCATGTAAATCCTAAACCATAATTTTACACATAGTAGGCTGGAAAAAGCTCAAATGTACTCTGGAGTTTAGCAAGTTGTGTGGGGTGTATGATATATGTAACTGTACTTTCATGCTCATCATTTCTTCCAGAAAAATACTTGTATCTTTTGATGGCTGTCAGTCGGTCATGGCAAAAGGGACTGAAGTCACTAAGCGCAGTAAATTCTCATAAATCTTATGAAAACTATTAACTGAATAGAAACAGAAGGAGACAGTAGCATTAAAGGGCAAAGGACATAAATGCCTGAAAAAAAAAACAACCCAGACTTCCTAAATCACAGTGCTCATTATAGGTTGTTATCAGGACAAAATAATGGATCTGTGATAATAACAGTCATAAATCAAACTTTTCAAAACACATGTCAGACATGAAGAAGACACGGATTGTAGGGCTGGAGATTTTTTGCTTACCGTCCACTTTTTAAACCACACTGCTTTGATATCTAGCAAGGCCAAGAAGTAGACTGGACTTAAAAAATCTGGAGAGGCAGGATGAGTAAGCTCGTGGACTACTGAAAAAAGCGAGAAGGTAGTATCTACTACTTCTTCCATGTACCTTATGACACAAATAGAAAAAAAATGAGCAGAAATCAAAAATTACATAAATCCTTCTACCAGTAATACCCAGGGAAAAAAAAATATTTTAAACCATTGCTGTTCAGATAAATCATAAATATCAATGTCATCTTTAACTTGATCTTGTAAGAATATTCATTCTTCGTATTACCATGAATAAAACTAGTATCAACATACTCATGCATTCTCCTAAATTATTTCATGTTTTGTAAGTACCAAGTACTACACTTGTTACTTCTTAAAACATCCAAATTATTTCTGTTAAAAAACACTTGGAACGCTTCAAAAGCTAAATAAGCAGCTTAATATGACCCATGACTACTCCTATACAACCTCGCTATTATGCCACTGACCAGTCATTATGTGTCTTGTAATTAACACTTTACTAAGCAATTACATGCATCTAATTATATGTCAGAAGTCATTAAATGAAGAAATAGTGACAGATTTTTGCAGGTAACATACTTTTCTGGATACCGAATCCAGGAAGATGGAGCTTCCTTTTGGTACTCATTTAAAAGGCGGACCTGAAACATAAGCATTAAATTTTTTTAAAAAGAAATAATGCACGATGTTTTAGTAATGATAAAAAGGTACAGAGAGTTTATTTATACCTTTCTAAGTAAACGATCTATAACTGGGTTAGATAAATCCAGACCAGCTGAAATACGGAGAGAATAATCTCCAGAAAGAAAATATAACTCCAAGTGCTTTGCTAAAAGACAAGAGAAACAAAAAAAAAAAAACCTCCATGAAACTAGTGGCAATACAGACTATACCGCATATGAATCATGAAGCCTTAAATATAATTAAATGTACATACCTAAACTTGTATACACATCTCTTGTCATATTAAATGGAGAAGAAGAAAAGGCTTTTGCATAGAACCTAAGAATTTTCTCCTAAGGGAGAAAAAGCAAGCAATGTATTAAATAGTCATGTAACTGTGTATTATTATTGCACAATAATCAATATGTAGCGGCATTATTCTTAACATAGATTGCTCTGATATCCACAGATGTTAAGCACAGTCCACAAAAATATACAGTTTCAGACAACAGAAACCTCCAGTCTAAAGGAAATTTTATTTGAATAATTTAACTGACAGCACCGAAGTCTCACTATGATACAAATAACTAGATCAGGGTATTCTGCTGTACTTTTCCATTAGCATTAATGTTTTAATGTTATTAAATATACCAGTGACTTGTAACTAGCACTGTTTTAAAAGAAACTATATTTTCTATGATGACAGAGAAGTACATGACAGCAGCTGGGGTAACTTTCTTATTAATTTAGTAATCACTTTAAAATTCAAATAAATTAAAAAAAAATTAATTGGCATAATAAATAATCTAAAAGCAGTTTAAGTAGCTGCTATGTTTTTTCCTCATCAGGGCCTGTGTAATACTACCATCTATGATTTTCACCATGGAGCACATACCTGACTTAAATAGGAAATAGGAACATGACATGTTTTACAGAAGAATTTTGTCAACTTTTGTTTTTACATGTCTGCTAAAAGATATCCAAACCTCTTCATTCTCATTAAAAAATACACGAGTACTCCAGTCTCTAAATATTCTGAAATTTGAAATATTGAAATCCTGTTGTAATCCTTTAAATTAAGACCTACTGAAATCATACAGTTCTTTTACTTCAAAAAGAGTTTGTGACACATAAATAACAAAATGTCTTTGGACACTGATGGACTACTCATAACATACATTTAACTTCTGAGACCTCATCAGTACTCTTTACTATGGCTACACATCTGATAACTAAATACAGAACATTAGCTTACACTGAATGCATCATCAGGATCTGACAGACACATTGTCAGATGCTTACGCAGATTTGGCCAAGTCTCAGAGTTCAGTATATCAGAGGGAGGGGCAAAGCACAGTGTCTGCAATGCTTCTTGGCGAACCTGAAGTGGTCAGAAAGATAAACACCACAAATCCATTCACAGCAACCTCTCAAATATTTAATTTATAATATAATTTGGAGGAAGGAAGGAACAGGACCCAGCTGTACAATAGATAAGGCATTCCAGAATAGTTACCTTCTGCTATATTTTTATGGCAATTTAGGCAAAACGCTGTATCACTGAGATAAGGTTAAAAAAAAAAAAAAGGCACATATTTGAAGAAGTAACATAACTATTTCATGTAAGTTTTCAATGCTGGGTGCAAAGATTATGTTCTACTTTCTGCCTGTACCCAGATACATTTTTATCAGGGCATATAGGAACCAAATAAATTATCGCCAAATAAAACAAACGTGCCCAGCAGCTCTCTAAAATGTCATTAAATTGGAAACAGAGTTATTAGACACTGTTTTACTCCCAAATTTCATCAGCATTATAATCTAAATAATTTCAAATAACTTTTTTTTTCCTGTTTGTAGACAACTGTAATCTCTAGTAATTAATTTCATATTACTGAAACAAACTGGAAATTTTAACAATATTTAATAGCATCAGACTTTCTACATGGTTTTCTAACAAAACTTGATCACAGTGTTTACATCAATCCCAACCTACCATGCATTTTTCAACTAGTAGACAATCCCAAATGTTACTGAGAAAGCATTCTCAAAATGATGCTTCTAAAAGCTTCAAAAATATCAGCAGCTGGTACTGATTGACAGTTAGAGACCCAAATTAGTACTGCCACTGACAGGAAGACAAACCTAACTCGGTCTTTATGTATTCCCTCTGGCAGTAGCTTGTTAGCAAACCAGCAGGAGGTAACACAAAGGACAACATGAAAGTTACCAAGGACAAGGGACACATATACAGGAAAATAAGCTTCAATAACTGTATCTCAGACAGAATAACCTTTTCCAAACTATAAATGCCCATCGATAGGCACATAAACTCACAACAAAACAAAACAGATACTTGCTACAACACTAGTTTTTGAAGCACATGGTTATGAACAATGAAATACTGCACTGCAGAGCAGTTGCTGCTGCACTGAAGCCAAGAGACACAAACCAACAAAGACAAGATTCCACTTAGGTACATATATACTCTTATGTACATAGTCTGTTTCCCAATATGCCATAAATATTAATCATTAACATTTTATTTCTGCTTTTAAACTTACTTCCATAGGCTGAGTAAGGTCAAGCCTTTCTACAAGCAGCTGCAATTGTTCTTGACTCAAGAATGTATAACTCTGTAATATGTATTATAGAATGATCATTAGTATATTTCATTAAACTGAACAGCAAAAGATTAAAATCATCCCTCTTTCTGATATCTAATTTGCTTTTAATAATTAGGACTTCAACATTTATATTAATTTAACATTAAAATCAACATTCTAAATGTCTTCTGCCATTTGTCCAAAGTTAAATTTACAGCAACAAAATTACTGTTACATACTTTAGTTTGCTTTAAAGTTTCCTATATCTTCATAAAATCCCTTGTAATAATTCTTTCAGTAAGCAATATAGCATAGCACAGTACTCTGAAGATGAATTGCAGAAGTAAAATCACAAAAATTTAGATGATGTATTGCTTTTACCATTTTATCTTTTTATCTGCAGTACTTGCATAGGTACTTTAGAGCATATGGCCATCATACTAATCTCATCTAGCATATGCTATCTAAAGGTTAGATAGCTAGCATACGCTTAGTATTTCAGTGTCAGAGAAAGGTAATTAATCAGTATTGGGATATATACAGCTGCTTTCAGTCTCCACTGACAAACTGAACAATTTTACAGTATCATGCTTATTTCGTAACAGAGAGAGAGAAAACACATTGTACTTGATTGAACGAGGAGTCACTGTCGGAACAGTTGTCTGTGTAATAGCAACTCCGATGTTCGCTCTTTGTTTTACTATCCAGCTCCTTATTATGCATCCGATCTTCTTCAAACTTGTTAATCAAAGATTCTACCACAACCATCATGACATTCTTCAAGGCATGCATCATTTCTCTGTATCTTCAAAGTAAAATTTATTTTAATATTAAAAAGCATAAGAACACCCAATTAAAAAAAAATCTGTAAATCATGAGTAACTGAATATGCCATAATGTTACTTAGACCCAAACTCAGTGAATTTACAGAAATGAATGAAATGCAAATGCAAATCCAAAATGAGCAATAGAAGATATATGTACCTTAAATGTTTAAGATTACTATATTTTTGAGGTTTTACATATTTCCTAGAAATAACAGCTGTATATACTAAAATCCATCTCATAAGCACTACAGACCACTGCTTTAAAGAATCACAGCAATTATCTGCCTATGGAAATCTGAAATACAAAGCATGAAAATTCAGTAAGTTTGCTACCAGCCTCTGTATTCCAAGGAACAGTTATTTTAATATCCATGGGAATGTGAATAAAGTTAATAGGGAAGAAATGACTGAGAAAAAAAATTTATTTGGTATGCACAGAGTTGGTTTTTTTCAATTTATGGCTTCTCTACTAAATACGGTGTTCAAAGGCAATTAATCTGGACTATAGACCCCTGTGGTAATACATTGTTTTGCACATCTACTTACCTCTGGCCGACAGCCTGAGTCAAAAAAACTTGTATAATTATAGACAGTTGGTCTGCATACCACTTGTACATTACATGGACAGCACTGAAGAAGCATCTTTGGTTCATAATAAATTCAACAAGTTTAGGTCATAGCTCATAATCTCAATTCCAGAGTGAGATGTAGCAAGACAAATTGCAGTGTATGGTGGGAATACCTGAACTGCTTAGCACTGGATTCTGAAAGCAAATAATCACTTTTGTCACCCACTGCTTCAGAAATTATTTTTTCAAAACAAGTTCTGGCAAAGAAAATGGAAGAAAAAGGCCAAGAAGAAACAAAAAAGTGAATTACATGTATATACTCACTCTTTTGATTCACGTGTCTTCTTAGTAACATGTTGGACAAGTGTGTCATAGCCAGATACTTCACCCTGACTTTGAGCAGAAATACATTTTTCTGTTTCTTCTTCAATCACAGATCCCACAGTGCTATTTATACATTTCCTAAGGTATTTCACAAACTCATAGCTGCAACAAATATACAATAATAAAATGTAACAGATTTCTTTAAACTCACCATTAAACATTTTCAACATTACATGTGCTATTTTCCATCCCAGCAGACCTGTGTACTTTAAGGTGAGTTTTTATGACTCTATCGGTGTAAAAAAAAAAAAACAAAAAAACCACCACAATAGAGTTTGATTTTCTTCAATATGGTCATTATCAGAAACAATCATACAATGGTTTGGGTTGGAAGGGACCTTAAAGAACTTCTAGTTCCAACCTCCCTGCCACGATCCAATAGATCAGGTTTCCCAAAGCTCCATGCAACCTGGCCTTGAACACTGCCAGGGATGGGGCAGCAACAGCTTCTCTGGGCTACCTCTTCCAGTGTCTCACCACCTTCACAGAAGAATTTCTCCCTATAATTCAATTTAAGTCTACAATATGAAATAGTTCCTAATTTCCTTTTGCACTTCTTTTAAATGAAAAAGTCTACTCAAACAAAAAGTTAAGGTTTTGTAAACAAAAATCATAGAGTATCAAAAAATGTCAAATTTAAAATTCCACAAGAATCTTACTTGGGGCATCCTGAATATAACACTGTCTTACGTTATATCCTTCCGGTATTACTATTTATGCCATTGTAGATGAAAGGTAACATAGAAAACACAATTTACAAATTCTAGCATACAAGCATTCTAGGTTTTCTGAAAGGTTTATGAAAGTCGGTATGTCCTGACAATATGCAGAAGATCACACTCAAACTGACTCTCTGTGATTACATGTATGCCTCAAACATAAAGAAATTGGCACTTAAGGCTCTTATTAGATAATAACAGAATCTAGTTTAAACAAAAGGATAAGCAGACGGGTTTCAAAAGAGAGACTATCACTGGGTTCCCTGTGTTAGCTACAGAAATTGCTAAAAAATATTGCTCATAATGTGTAAGCTTTTTTTTTTTTTGTTAGTCTTTCAATTTATGCAAAGGACAAGACAAACAGAAAGACACACAAAAAAAGTAAACATACATAAACAGTAGATGCATCATTGTATTTTTTATGCATCACTGTATTTTCATTACTTCGAACACAGACGTGCAACTACTTTGTGTTAATTTGGCAAAACAAAGAATAAGAAAAATTCAAATAAGTCAGTTCACCATGTAGGTACAGAGTCCAAAGCTGTAAAAGGCAAATACAAGTAAAAACAACTGTTAAAACAGGCAGCAGCTTTTGCCTTTCTTGTGTGTATATACATAAACAGACTACATTCAAGATATATATAAAAAATAAGCATCGAACATTGTCTCGTATCAAGATACATAACTTCCTCATTGCATTGTCTACCTCAAGTTCTATCAGGTATAACAGTTCCATCTCCCTTTCCATCATTTAATTCTCAGTGAAAGTAACAGAAATACACCTCAAGAAAGATGCAAACATTTAATTTCATTTGTCTTCAAGGCTGTCTTTTTACTTCTGCAATAATGAAACTGCACATGACTCTCCACTGAATGAAAGCTTTCATAAAACCTTCTCCCATTTGTTTTATGACAGTAACATTTTCAGGGCATACATTTTTTGCAGTGACTGCTTCACCCTGAAATACATCGCAATCACATCACTATTCATGCCCTAAGTTTGTGTCTCCTTGATGTCGTAGCCTTGATCTTCTGCATCATTCTTCCACCTTAAAAATGTTTCGTAACAAGTGTTTCAGCAATTACAGAACTAATTTTTCACATGTAGAAACAAATAGGGTTTACAAAGGAAGCACCAGGGAAACAGGAAGAGAAAGAAAACAAAAAAACCCCAAACAACAAACCCAAAACTAGTTGTAGGACTTTTAATTTAATGAAAAAATACAACAGGATACATGCTACTTATAAAGTTTAAAATCCTGATTTATATCACTGCACATAAATTTTTAATTTTATTCAATTTTCCTTTTTATTAGCTTTCTGAGGATCTCATGCTTCCATCTTTTCTACGTCATAGCGGGAACAAGGGATAAGGCAGGTCTCAGAATCTGATAAAACTTCTGAGGCAAAATAACCATGAAGCAAAATCAGTGCTCATCAAAATACTGCGCTGAACTGGCAAACTGGACGATCCTAAAGCACACACTACTAATAAAGGCATTTGCAGTCTAGATGGATGGGCTAAGGGTCAAAAAGAAAATTTCTTAATGGTCTTACTAATGAACCACCACATGATCTCTTTGACCTTCCACAAACACCAGCCTATACTGCCATGGGTCATGAGCAAGACTAGTGTATCTCCAGAAAGATACCCCACCAGCAGAGAGTAATGCTCACATTCTGCATATAAAGCATCATTCAGTTTTCCATTAAATGAAAGTTAAAAGCTTTTCTCATAAAAACAAAGAATCCTTAGGATGACCCAAGTTTTTAACATACTAGAAAGATTAATGAATGCCATGTTCTCACTATTCTGAAGTGGAAAGTTATATATGCACTGTTTCCATCAGTTGTGGGCTTTACTTCCGCATTCTGGGTTTTCTCCTCAGAAGAAACATTGACAGAAGTAATTTCACTTTTTTTGTTGTTGTTGTTCATACTTTTTTACTGTACTTATCCTCCTTTAAATTGTTGTGGTTTCTTTTTTTTTTTTCTTTCCAAATTACATGTAATTTTCAACTTGATGTGTTTATAGTCAACCTTTTTCACTCTGATGCTTGTCACCTGGTAAGACTGCTAACAAAGTGGTAGCTGATACAATTCATAATACAAATTAAAATTGAGCTAAAATACATTTTAAAGCATTTAGCATCTTCAGAAGGTATAAGACCACAACGTTTTAAAATTATAGTGAAATTTTACATAAATAAGCTCTATTTCACTTATTCTCACCTAACTTCTATCACTGACAAAGCAATGGTAAAAACTAGACAAATTTAAGAGAATATAGATAGTGCCACTTTTGGTAAAAAAAAAAAAAAAAAAAAAAAACAAAAAACCAAACCCACAACAAACAAAACTGACAGGGAACCAGCTTTCTCAGGAATCAGTTCACAAAACTCTGGTCTTCACTAAAATGTCTCTGAAGTCATTCCACTTTGATATTCTTGACTTAGCATAAATGCATCCTAAAAATCTCCTATGTGTAAAAAAAGTAAACAGGTTAGAATACCATGGAAAGGGGAGTGTGGGCTCCAAAAATCTAGATTGCATGTAAGTGAGGTCACACTGTCAGGTCTGATTTAAGAGGAGTGCGATGGGGATACATTCCTGCTTTATTCGAAACATAAATTAAAGAACAACTACCTGTAAGATATACAAGGGTTTGGTAATATAAGCCAGACAGATCAAATGCAGAAATAGCCTACTGAAAATTTTACCTTATTTGGGGGGGGGGGGGGGAATTTAAAAAATTGTGTAGCCGATGTAAAAAATACTGCCTGACAGCCTTAAGTGAGGATTTCTCCTTCCTTCTGTTCACGTGTGCATTTAGTACATTACATGTGGACATGCAGAATGGGCTAAGTAAGGCAGTTTTGCGAGTTCCTCTCACAAACAGCTGATCAATTACTATTATATTAGAAATATACTTCCAAGAGTGAAAAAGAAAAAAAAAAACACAAAAAAGAAACATTACAAAATTAATTTCATGCTTTAATTTAGCATCTTTTGAGAGCTGGTTAGTGACAGGAATGACTATATATAAAAATACATACACATTCACACTGCAATATAAATTGTAATCATTTCCCAGGAATAATATAATTCAACACATCCCTTCAAAATATTAAAAATAGCAAAAACAGTTTTACTTGTGAAAATTCTCATCTGTTTCCTCCAAGTGCAAGAGAATCTCTTCTGCACACTCTACTGATGGGGCTCCAGTGATTTTTTCCTTCACACTCTGTAGCAACTGTCTAAGCATAGATTGTAACTGAGCTTCATCTTCACTTGTAAAGAGAGACATCTGTATAAAGCAAACATAAGAATAACAAGCTTTCAGAGTTTATCCCCTCAAGGTCCTAAGAAAACCATAAATCCTTAAATTGCCACTTTTTTCCTCTTATAAATAACAAGAGATACTCTATCAAAAGACACAATTACAGGCAGAAAATATTTGATAAAAGCTTATCTTCAGACTAACTGGAAACAGAATAACCAAATCAGTTTTCATAAACCTATCTCAGTTCTTAGAACAACATTCTTAAATGAGATACTGCATTAAGAAAAACCTGATTACTCCTTTTTGTAGCTGTTTAAGGACCTGCCTATCAAACAGGCACACCTTTTTTTTTTTTTTTTTAAGCGATTTTTACAGATGTAATGATGATGAGAAACCTCTACATGTCTCTCAGCTGCTTCTCATCTATTGTTACTATCCAGTTCTGACTTTTGGATCCTTCTCCTCAGAGCTGCAGCCCATGACTGAAGGTGCTGGCAGCTTTTGCAAGGACCAGGTGGAATAATGAGAACTGTTTAATTCCGCTGCAGTAATCAATTAAAATGACCCGGCAAGACTCCTGTCAATTTAACCCTACAGCTACTGGGAAAAACTGGGAGAAGCAGCAGCAGTGAGAAACTGGGGGCATCTGCCAAGTTTAGAAGACTGTCCATCAGCTTAATTTTCAAAGGTTGGGAAAAAAAAAGAAAAAAAACCCAAGGGAACAAAACAAAACCACCACCTAAACCCAAACATCCACTTCTGTCATGGCTTAATTAACCTAAATTCGTGGCTTAAACTTCTTTATATGCCAAAGAATACTTTCAACCCCCAGGGGCACTTGCAGCTTATATATTTCTCGTCTATTTGAGGAAGGCTGATTTAGAGACTTTTATTTTAAAAAGTCAATCAAAGACTGTCTTTGAATAAACAACATGCACACTTGAAAGAAACAATGTAATAAATCACTCCTTCAGACTTAAACACTATTAACTAACAAAACAAGGCCATATAACTCCAGCTGGAAGAATTACCCCTTTATGAAAGGTAACTTCTCTGCGAGAAGTAGCACAGTTGCTGAACATTTTACTTTGACCAAACACAGTTCAGCATTAACCCAATCACCAGAAACTGCATTAAAATAAACTAAAAAAAAAACCAAAAAAAAACCCACACATAAATCCCTTGTAATAATCTTAACTCCTTGACTTGCAGCCCTCTTTCTTTTGAGTCTCAAGATATTTAATTAAAATCAATGTATTTTTAGGTCTATATAAACCAGTCTCATAAGTCTTCTATTTTGAACTTAGCACTGGGTAATATCCTAATCCCCTGCAAAAACTTCACTTAGTATTTTGGCATAACTACGCATTTTTAAAAGCATAAAGTATCTGGATACTAGCTGGCAATCAGTGCAAAGACCCACTCAAACTGGTCATAAAGACAAATAACGAGAATACTGCCGTTTCATCTCCAGTTTGTTTTGAAAAGATTTATTTCACTTCTGTAATCATCAACACAGGTATTTATCTTAAAATTAATTTGTAAAGGTCTGTGACCTGTTGAGTTCAGGTTTTTATGGCCTTTTTTTCTCTGCAGACATATACCCCATTCTGTTTCTAGCCAAAATTCAAAGTATTGTTTTCCCCTTAAAAAACCTCCCCCCAAGCCCAGTTTGTGCTGTCTTTCCAAGTTCAAATTCATTTTCCCAGCACTGTCCCACACCTGAAAATCCTGCCCCAAAACCCATGGGATGATTCAGAAGCCGCAGGTTGTGGGCAACGTTTATCTTTGCACAAGCTTTTTCTTGAACAGGACTTTGAACAAAAGAAAGTGGTAATTTTAGCAACAAACATACGATAGCAGTTAATAGACATAAAAGTAGTGTGAGAATTCCCACCCCCTCTTGATTTTTATCATCATTCAACTGCGCATCAGTTTTTAGCAGCAACCAGATTTCTAACAACCCACGTACGAGAGCAGCTTGTCTTCTTAAGTATTAGGAGAAGCTAAGCCTGACCAGGTCCTTCTCTCAACGCCACCTCTAAAAGCACAGGGGAACTACGCCACGGCATCTTGAACGCGCTCAGCCCCAAGCGCCGGATTAGCACCGCGGCTGCTGCCAAGAGCTTTCCGAGGCGCGCCCCGCCCGGCCCGGCTCGGCTCGATCCGGCCCCAGGGCCCCGCAGGCCCAGTTCTGCCCAGCCCCAGGCTCAGGAGGCCCAACTGGGCCTCGCGGGTTGCGGAAAGGAGCGTCACCGGGCACGCCACGGCCCCGCAGTCTCTCTGTCCCTGCCCCATCCCCAGCGCCCGGGCTGGAGAGAATCACCTTGTGGCGGCTGCCCTCTCCGTCCCGGCGGCCTCGCGTCTCCCCAGGCGGCCGCCCTTAGCAACCGGCGACGCCTGCTGCTGATTCTCGCAGGGCCCTTAGCAACATCGCGAGAGTCCGGAGGGACGCGGGAAGGCTGGGTCACTGCAACCCGCCGCGAGTTCCGCTTTTGCCTGGGGTGGGAAGCCGCACTGCTGTCCTAGCGCAACCGGGGGCTGAGGTGTCGGCCCTCGCTGGCTCCAAACCCCGCCTGTACTCTCGGTCGCCGCAGGGTTTCCCGGCCACAGAGGCGGGAAGAGCGGTAGCCCCAGAGGTCCTGCGGCAACCGTGTGGAGCATGAAGCTTCCTCGTTTGCTCTGCAGCGGCCGTTTGGCTTTCTCGGGCCTTCATAGCGTGCCTTGGTGGTCTTTCTTGGCCAAATAATGCAAAACGAAGATGCCGAGGTGTAGCACTAACCTGGGAAGGATTGATCTGCGGTTTGCCCTCTTAGCGCTGTGATGGCATATTCTGACGACAAAATTACTAAATTCTCACCAGTTATTTTAAGTGGATGAATTGTAATTATTTCTTGGGGGAAAAAAAAAAAAAAAAAAGACGGCATATATTTGGGAGTCTGTACAATTAAAAAGAAAAAAAGTTTTAGAAATGTTATGAATTCGCATGCCATTGAGGAAAACCACACGCAGGAGGGGATTGAGTAACCTTAATTCATGTTGTCAAGTGGAGAGTTATGTTAAGGGTGGTTACAAAGACGACGACTCCCCTGTTTACAAGGAGGCACATGGAAAAGATGAGCAATGGGCACAGGTTACTCCTGGGGAGATACTGACTGGACACAAGGAAAATTTTTCACAATGAGATCAGTCAGCCATTGGACGTGCTGCCCATCAGCAGTAGACACTTTGAAGATTTAGGTGGACAGGGTGCTGGGACATCTAGTCTAGGTCTTGCTTTGCCTAGAAAGGTCAGACCAGGTGATCCTTGAGGTTTCTTCCTACCTGGTAGTCTACAATTCTATGATTTATATTGTGAACCCCGCACCCAGGTAATAACAAGGGAAAACCCATGGCATAGGTAACTGGAACATTTATCGATAACGATCCCCACCCACCCACCGAGTAAAACTCTAAACATTCAGCTGCAGATAATTTGGCTTTCCCTGTCTTCAAACTGGAGTGTCAGGGCTTGCCTCTGCCCAGCCCTGGTGGCCTGTAGCTGCCTGTGTGGCACAGGTTTTCCAAAGAATTCAAAGAAAAACACTCATGTCATTTTTTCCAGTTTACATCAGCAGAGGAGCAGGTTGTCTCAATAGATCAAAACATGAATGGCAAGATACTTTCCATTGCTCTTCAACTCTCCATCCGCTGCTGAAATGGACATATTACGAAAAAAGAATAAATAGTATTTTAACTATTTGACAAATAAATGCATAACACAAAACAGCAAGAGCGTTTTTATTTGAAATCATTTTCAATTAGCTTAGCTACAGCAAGCCAGGAATGAGTTCCAGTAAACACTGGTAATGATGTTTGACAGTGCTTAAATGTAATGTGACACACCTTTTTTATCCTTTACTCCTATTTTTTTCTAATGATTTTGATAATGTCAGTAATGCTAATCTTCCATGAGGACATGTTCCTTTAAGTGTATCTGTAGCCCATTCAGTTAATAGAGCTCTACCTAAGTCAGAGGATCCAGTCTCTCACAGAACTGCTAGGACACTGGGGTCAAGCATATAAAATGCAGTATTTCTATTGGAAAATGATGGTTCAAGAACTGAAACATAAACCTGGTAGCTCCTCAGAAACAAGATTTTGATCAGTTGGATTAGAGTCTCTGGGGTACCTTTAATGCTGTTGCCTCCAGCACTTCGAAGTGGTCGGCGCCCTCAGGATCCTACAAAACAAAAACTGGAATAATCGTCTGCTAGCTGCTGCATTCACCAGAGCCCTGTTAGCTCAGCTGTGTACTCTCCATGTCTTCTAAGTGCGCTATTCAGAATGGGCTACAAGTGACAACAGCTTATTCTTCATCCATGCCAGGCTCTTATTTCACAGGCAGCAGAGCAGCTTACTCCTTATCTGTCCCCATACCAGATGAGAAGTGTTGTGGTCCAACACTTCTAATTGCTCTGTTGCTTCAAAAGCGCTGATTCAGGTGACAGCGTCTCAATTTCATGGCTGGTATGGAATAAAGGAACTCAATATACATAACATTCAGCATTCCTAGTCCTTACTGAAAGAGCCTCCATTTTAGCATGCCATTCCTATCTTATAAAGCACCTTATAAGACAAATTTCAGTTGCAGTAGTATCACAGAAAGAAGTTCTCATGGTACTTACAGTGATTCTGAAATGCTTTCATTTCTTTCTGTTCTCTCGCACTTTCTGGATCTCCTCCAGCTTCTCTTGCTATATGTTTTTCAGCAATTGGAACCCAGAGCCCTTTCTCCCGATCCGAACTGGCAGATCTCAGATGCCATTTGGCATGGTCATTAGTGTGCTTTCAGGCAAATACCTTCTGAGGTTGATACTCCAGAGTGAGCAACATTATCCTGAAGATTATTATGTTTACATGGATGCATGTCAGTCACACGAGAGAGATGTTGCAATCACTGTGAAATTACTCATGCCAATTTCATGCTGCTCAGATTCCACAGTCTCATAGATGAAGGCATCCTTCTCATTGGCAAAAATAGTCCAGTTGTTCTCTCCTGGTTGTACAACCAGGAAAACCCCTGACTTATATAATTTTAGAAACAGAGGAAACAGCAGGTGCACCAGTTCTTGGAGTGTGTAGCACATAGGATAAGCAAAGTTTCAAACTGTGAAACATTATAATGATGTAAGTCAGGCATTATAGAGGAGTTTAATTTCCATACCTTATGACTCATAAGATTCTCTCTTCATACCTTGAACATGTACCAAAATTTGAATTACTAATTTACTCTAAGTTTCTGTAAATTTAAAATGTACCTGTAGTTTCTCCAATGTGGCAGTTTAGGACAGGGGAAAGTGGACAACAAAATCTTCTTTACAGCTTACCATAGTAGTGGGAACACCCAGTCTTAATGCTGATGTCCTTACACCAGGGATAGAATTTCTCTTTCATCATTCTCTTTTCTTGCGTTGTAACTGTCCAAAAGACCACCCTTTTGTGGATGCCACACAAAGATCTGGAGAGACTTTGATTTTATGTAGTTTATGCACAGCTATTAGTGTCTCCAAGAATGTTTAACTAAGACTTTCAGCAACTCAGTAGGTAGAAGCTTCCTACTTTTTTTTTTTTTAAGCAAAAACTAAAGAGCTTTTTTGGGGTTTTTTTGGTTGGTTGGTTGGTTGGTTGGGTTTTTTTTTAGCAAACTAAAGGGATGAGTTTTTGGTATCTGATAGAATAGAATAACTTACCATAACCAGTTTGTATTGAAATCGCATGTCATGCTTTTCATTGGCTGATACAGTTTCAAAGGAGTATGTATCAAAGAAGAACTAAAGACAAAAGCAAACTGCACTTGATCAAACCAAACCAAACCAAACCCAACTTTCTGTACTGTAGTCCACAGCTAAGTCAAGACCAGGAGAATCCAGGATATCCTCACTTTAGACAGGGGATAGAACTAAGTGTCAGGAAAGGAGAAGTAAGTGTGAAATCTGGCTCTGGAGGTAACACAAGAAGCCTACACTTTTCTGAATACTCTGACATCCCTTAAGCAGTTCTTGAGACCCCAAGTAAAGATGAAGACCCTTTTATGGGTCAACCCTTTTATGACCACTGTAGCATCTGTTGCCCTCTCCCATCATTATTCGTGGGAGTTTCCCAGATTTGGAGGAACAATGAACATGTTTTGAAACTTCATTAGATCATAATCTTACCATAAATATCAAAAAGGAAACTGCTTAAAATATTACTGCTGATGGGAAAGACTTTTTAAATAAGCTCCAAAGGAAATTTTCTGTTTTGGAGACCATCTGTCCTTTCCTCCCTGTGCACTCTGGGGACATACTAGAAATACTAGCACATTACTAGATGTTTCCGTTAAAACAAACGATAAGGAATTGGTGGGCAAATGAGCATGAGAGTTGCATGCTGGATCACTTCATACTATCAGCTCTACTTTGAAGGCTTGTGTTAAAACGTATCCATACAGAATTTACATCAGTTCCATAACAAAACAAGTGTCATGACTTTTGTTTAAAGTTACATCAGCTGAGTTTGTACCCTACTACTGAGAGCTAAGCCAATATGAGAGGCATGAAAGCTCTTCAGGAATCAAAAATTAAAATTGGGTTAGTTTACTTATTTGGTTATTAAACTTCAGTTATGCTGACATTTAATAAAGACTGAAGACCTTACATTGCTGTTTGTGATTTCCCTTGTCTTGAGAAGAAGTGAGAAACTAGCAGGAAATCAGTAAGACTCTAACATTGTCAGGCACCAATTCAGAACCATTCTGCCCAATAGCAATCAGAAATGTTATTGATTAAAATTTTAACTTAGTGAATATAGACACTGATTTTTTTCACCTGTATTTTATGGTGCAGTTTTCAGTTTCTGCATGTGGTTGTAAAAGTAACTATTGAACTGAGGCTCAGTGTGGGTGATAAAATTTACACTGCAATGCTAAGTAACTGCCTCAATGAATTAAAGACAAAATAAGCTTCAATGACAATATAAATATCCAAATGCCAATAAAATTATTTTCTGATGCACATATCTTTCCTGGTGAAACTTCAAGGAGTGAAGAACACCCATGTCACTCGCTCCCATTGACCTTAGGCAAGTCCCTTAACTCTTTATTGGAAATTGAGCATAATAAAATTATCTTTACATACCATTATAAGAATTAATGTCACAGAAATACCATATAACCAAGTGGCATCATAAATCTCCCAATTTATTTTCCATTTC